ATTTTAGGAGCTCTCATTAATATCGAGGAGCAGTAATAAAAATATTAAAAGGATTATTACTGTATACGGTAATAATCTTTCTGGACCATAGCGTCTTCTATTAGGAATACACCAATGTGTTGTTTTTCTGCCTCGTTTTACCCGAGATCATTCCTTACACTTGAAAGTTCCAGTTGGTGCAATGGAAGGGCAGAGTTTAATCAGTCCACACCCATCCCAACATATAAGGAGATATTTCTTACCATTATTAAAAATACAGTAGATAAATGGACTCAAATACAGTAAATTAGAAACAAACTTAACAATCCCTGCACCAAATGTTTATGTCCTTACCCCACACCTATATAAGGTCCAGTTATGCCTGCCTAACTGTTAGTAAATATCATTTCTTCATGCTGTAATGTAAAGGTAAAGGTTCCTCTCGTACATATGTGCTAGTTGTTCCCGATTCTAGGGGGCAGTGCTCAGCTACATTTCAAAGCTGAAGAGCCAGTGCTGTCCGAAGACATCTCTGTGGTCATATGGCCGGCATGATTAAGCGCCGAAGGTGTACAGAACACTGTTACCTTCCCACCAAAGGTGGTTCCTATTTTTCTACTTGCATTTTTACATGCTTTTGAACTGGTAGGTTGGCAGAAGCTAAGTAACAGGAGCTCACACTGTTACGTGGCGCTAGGAATTCGAACTGCCGACCATTCTGATCAACAAGCTCAGCGTCTTAGCCACTGAGCAACCCTTATTCATGCTGAAAGGCATCTTTTTAGATGATTTCCAGTTCCTTACGTAAGCACTGTGGTAGTTCAGATCCATCTAGTTTGGGTTAAGGCATCAGGCTGGAAACCAGGAGACTATGAAACACAAATCCAGCTGGGTAACCAGTTACTCTCAGCCTAAGAAATCAGGCAAAGGCAAACTACTACTGAAATCTTGCCAAGAAGATTTCAGGGACTTGTTCAGACAGTTGCCAGAAGTTAAGACTGACTTAAAAGCACACATAGAGACACCACACAAATACAAAGTACTTTAGATATAACATTTAGAAGTCGTCAAAGTGGTATTCAAAATGTAGAGATATGATTGTTCAATGCACAATAAAGACAACGCCCATTGTTCAGCAGAGTTATTTCAGAGTTTCATGAAGGGTCAGCATAGGGGGAAAATGCAATCCTGAGGGACACTCTAAGCCAACTGACAAGGCTTTATATCACATATGCTGTTTAGATTATCTCCCTGTTCTCATTCCAGCTCACGAAGATGACAGAAGCAAATTTATTGCAAATGATAATTTCATCAGGAATAGTTATTGGGCCCCTCCTGCAACAGTTATGAGGACAGTGGAGGAGTGTGCTTTGTTGTCAATTCATATTCTAGTGCAGTGATGCCGAAAAGGGAGTGTGCGCGCACTCGTCTGGGCCGCAACTTGGAAGAGGAGCTGCCCAGGAGGCATGCGCATGCCAGAAAATGAACTTTTGGTTTCCGCTGTGCACTTGTGCGCTAGACAACTATTCTTCCAGTTACTGGTGTGCATGCCGGTATGACGATCAGTGCATATTCACGCTGGAAAACGGAAGAACGACTCTTTCAGTTTCCGGCACACATTTCAGCAACATTTCTTGCAAACTAGCTGTAGCCTAGACACTTAAGTGTTATATGAACTCAGCCACTATGATTTTTAGCTCTACATCCTCTTAAACTAAAAAAAAAATATGGATTAAAGCACCCTGTGTGTCCTATCTTTACATAAAGCTTTATTATGTAAGAGAAGAATTCTGCTTATGGATTTAGGCTCCAGAGACTTATTTTTCTGGAAGTCTCCTTAAACCCGAGAGACTTATTTCAATGTGAACATCTATAGAGCACTTTAAAAATATACTGACCCTGAATACAGCTGTTGTTAAATACCTCCTGAATGTGTTTCATGTTTTTAAAGCTACAGCTTTCAATTTAAGAATACAGGTAATCCTTGCTTAAGTATCACTTGTTCAAAGACTATTCAAAGGTACGTATGACAGTGTTGAACTAGAATTACAATAGGTCCTCCGTATTACAGCCATCACTGACTCTGTGATTGCACTTGGCAACTTGGCTCACAGTTGCAATGGTCTGTGTCCCACAGTCATGTGACTACTATTTGTGACCTTCACTGCTGGCTTCTGACAGTCAATGGGGAAGCTGGCAGTTCGCAAACGGCAATTGCATGACATTGTGCTTAACAGCCATGTAGGATTCACTTAACTGCAACTGGAACTGCCAGAACTGCTGTTGTAAGACAACACGATCACATACATCACATTTTATGACTGCATCACTTAGTGACGAGATGCTGGTAATACCATCATTAACCAAGGACTACCTGTTTTGGCTTGCTTAAATGGTTACGGCATGAAGCCCTTCTTCAGGTCTTGGACAACATCAAAACTCTTCTTTACATCTGTCAGCTCTGAAACTAGCCTGACGGGGGCCATCTTTGAGGCTTCAGTGTTGCCACAATGGAATAAGAATTAGGGGCCAATAGAGATAGCTGGGGTTTTGTAGCCAAAACAATACATACTATTTCCCCTGGGAACCAAGGACTTCCAACAGGTGGCTGAAGAGAGGAGTGATGTTACCAGTGGTGGGTTCCGGCTGGTATGGCCGTACCGATAGTAGTCAGGAGGCGTGGCCACGGTACCAGTACGGTGGCTCGTTTGGCTGGCCCGCCCGCCAGCGTTCCTTACCTGTTTTTAAGGCAACTGGGCCAATTGCGCACATGCGCACAGCGTGCGGCACCTGCACAACCTCTGGGTATGTGTCACAGGGGTGGTGGAATGTGCATGGGTGTCACAGGGGTGGTGGAATGCGCATGGGTGTGCAGCGCATGTCAGGTGCACGCACAGCACACATTCAGCGCATGCACAAATGGACCATAATCAGTGTACCAGTAGCAAAGGTAAGAGCAACCCATCACTGGATGTTACCAAGCAACTGGACAGCACCCTGATTGGACCATGTGACTGTTTGCGAAAAGGGGGAGGAAACGTTTACTTTTAATTAGGTGAAAACCACAGGAACCTTTACAGTTGGTTTTCACTAGACCATGCCAATATGATCTATCCAATAAAACTGTATTTTAAGGAATCTACCTGCCTCGGAGTTCTGTTTGCTATGAGTATAACTTGGAACCCTGACACTCCCCTCCCCCCCCTTATAGACATTTATGGACACTGAATAACTGGCTGGCTCTTGTCATAACTGTACTGCATGACTTTATTCTTACAATTCTGTCCCAAGAATGTTGACTTTAAAAAAATGTAGTAGCAGGAAGATTATTTTTATTCCAGCTCTGCTTATCACTTCGTCAGATTTAAAAAGATCACTGCAAGTTAGATTAGGTAGTGAGATAATTTATTGCACAATACTGACACAACATATTTCAATACAGTTTACACATGAGGAGTTTAGGGGAATCACATTTTGTTTTAGCGTTGTTTGCCATTTTGACATAAAGAGCAACATCCACATTCCAATTACATTTCACTCTTTTCTTCTTCCCGATGGCATTTTGGCTGCAATTTTAAACCCATTTATTGAAACCCGCATTTAGATATAGGACTGCACAAATAGATCATAAAGTATCAATGCATATGACTAAAATGATTTAAGTATCTAAAGAATAATCATAACAGAAATTAATCACTGAATTAGTGTAATGCATTAAGGATTACACATTTATGCAAAGCGTTTATATCCAGATTATATTTTTATGCACGTTAATTTATTTGTATTGAAGGGTAGAGTGAGGAGAGGCTTTAAACTCACAAATCAACATAGTTGTAGGAAAATAATAATCCTGTGTTTTCAAAAGTAAGTGTAATACAGTGATGATTCTGTTCTTTTAGGATTGCAGCCTAAATAATTTCTGAGAAAGACGTTTTTCTGAATAATTCTTAATTGCTGCCATCTCTAAACACTGCAATGACTATGGTACAAGTTATTTTAATAAGTATACTAAGATTCTTCTTGACGAATTTTAGATTTTTTTAGATTGGCCAGCGGCTATCTAGGGTGTTGCACCAACTACCTGGATGGCGCGATACATAATTAAATCTCCAAGCAAACTGACTCTAAGCAAAAGATAGGCAGCTAGCATGCTAACCCCTAACCATAAGCCACACAGGTCTCATGTATTTGCTACTTGTGCTTTTGCTGGTACCCTCTTCAATCTCTGGTCAACAACTATGCACTGCATAGGAGCCCTTGCGATTAGCTACTGGCAGTCACTCAAAGTATCAAAAAATAAAAATTTCAGGAAAGAAAAACCTGATGGGACTACGTAAGTTTGATGGGGACTCATCAAATATTTGATGAACATCAGGATTCAAGAAACAGAAAAGCACATTTTTTCTTTTATTCCTTTTTCTAGAAATTCTTCAGCCACTATATTTTCCTCCACCATGGTTCTCTGAAAGAATTCTTCCACCATCTGTCTTCTATACACTACTAAAATTCTCCTGTTTGTGCCATTCAGTTAAAGAAAATGGCACATTAATTATACCAGAATAATATTTGAATAAAGGTAACTCAAATCTGCTAAATTAAGGGGTATGTAAAATATTGGGACCCATTGCACCTGTGGAATTGAAATTTACCCATTGTTTATAGCTGTCAGGCGAAAGCAATTGGAATCACTTGTGAATAGGCCCAAGTAGATAGTTTATTGTTGATCACTTATATTACAAGAATCTCGCCAAACTGTCTGCTTTCCCTTGGGAATGGCAACTACAGACCTAAGGGTTTGACCTCAGACATTTCCTTCTCCAGATTTCTAATCTGGAGATTGGGGGTGGTGGTGCTCCAATTCCACCAATGGTTCCACCTCATTACGATTTTTAGTTCCAAATTTCTGGTTGTTGTAGCATCCATGCAGTCATATCGTGTACTTTTGAGATGATGGTGATGGTAGGAACATCCAGCATGGGGATAAAATAAATATGGTCAGCCTAATTATGCCATGCGGAAAGAGAGGGGGGGATATTATGATCAAAAGATGACACCAAATATCAGGAAACATCAAAGGAGAACACAAATCAGATGGGAAAATTTACTGTTCATTCTGGTTACATCAGACTGCACTACCTTTCTCTCAAAAGATGACCCAACAGTTAATAGGTTGTCTAATAGATCTCCAAAAGGATGGCAACTATTGGTCCAATAGAATACCGTAAGAACATGTGAGACTTTGTCAATCAAAAAGAAAGTGAGCATATGTTGCTAGCTCATCCATCTTAATTTGGGTCAACCTAATATTTCTTACCTTTACTGAAATACATTCTGCTAAGCCACACTTTAACTATTCTCTTTGAGTAAGCTGTGATTGGCTGAATTAGTGCAACACACTGATCCAAAACAGTAGTTTACAAACCATGGTAACAGAATCCACACAATCAGCCAAATTCAGCCAGATCACACTGTAGTTCAGCAGTTGAAGAAGCAGAGTACTATTGGACCAGGAGATCTGAAATATTTTTCATCCCTCCTGTTCACCTAACCTTTATATCGGGACATCAACTACTGTGATTAGCTCAGTTTCAGAACATAAATTGCAGACCCATCTCTGCAAGAAAACATGTATTTAAAAATTGTCAACAGGTAAAAGCTGTTGGTGTAAAGAGCAGGCACATTTTCGTAATCATTTCATTTTTTTATGAGGAATGCAATTTGGATAGCTTGAAGAAGCCATGACACACCCAACAAATGAAATCATTATTCCTTAGCAGGAAGATGGAAATAAATTAATTTTTAACAGATCTATACATACCCCAGCACAGATTTATAGTTAAAATAATAACTTTAAACACACTTTAAACTTTAAGAAATTTTTCAGCCATTTTCTTCTTTTAAAAAAAATCACCTCCGTACTCAGAGATACTTCATTCTTTTGTTCTAAAGGTTGTAACAATGAAATCATGAGCAGCAGACATGGAAGTTGTACAAAATAAAGTGCTGCTATATACTTCTGCCACCAGGTGGCTACATCAACAGCCAATTGAGTCTCTGCAGAGAGAATCTTTCGTAACATTTCACCCCAGCAAGATTCCATCCATTGTTTGCAAAGCAGTGCAAAGCAAGTGAGGCAGTTGGACAGTGGAGGTCAGCTGTGTGTAAGAGCCCTTTAAGCACCTGTGTAAGCAACATGATCCTCCGGCTGTGACTATTCTGTAGTATCCACAAAAACATGCTTCCTTTTAGGATTTTTCTTCTTTGAAGCAAGAAGCATTGGGCAAATTCCAGTGAGCTCCACAGCTAGCTTTGGAGGACAAATTCTCCTGCAAGGTAAACATATTCCAACACATATCAGCAATACCACAGTTCACAGAACCCAGACTGGTAATACACAAAGGTGGTTACACACCAGCCTGCTCTCTTTCCTTCTCCTTGTGCTAAGAGCCTACCACCACGTGATCTTGAATTCATAGATTGGGCGCTTGCAGTAGTAATGGTTAATCAAGTGTTTGTCACACACCCCAATACATTGCTGGTCCACTGTGATGCCCCTGTCGGAAAGGTCCGTCACAATGCAATGGAGGAGATCGTACACATCTGCCACGGCTTCCCATGGCCCAAAGGACACATCCACCTCACAATGGTGCTCAAAAAGCTTGGCCTCCCCTTCACTCCTCTCAAAACGGAGGGAGTTGAAAAGTGGGCACTCGTAGGGTGTGATGGGCATCTCTTCTTTGAAGACGCAGATCTTTAGCTTAGCAAATCGAGCTTTCCTTTGCATTGCCCGCAGCTTAGCTATTTCAATGATTCGCTCTAGATGCTCTAAAAAGCAAAAAGACAAACAATGACTGAAATATGGCGAGAACGCCTTTCCAAACAAAATACTCTTACAACTGATAATGATGAGAAACAAGATAATTATACAGTTAAACCGCTGTCTTGGTTTTTAAATTAACACTCATCTAAATCCTTAGCACATCTTAGCATCTGGTCTACCAACATACATATAACTTAAAATGGGGCTTGCTGCTATCCTTGAGCCCACTGTTGGCATAAGCCGAGGGTGTCAAACTGGATTTCTTCAAGGGCTGGATCAGCATTGTAGTTCTCCTCTGAGGGCCGGCTGGGACAGATGCCTCCTGTAGCACCCTGCTGGCCAAAACGGGGCACCCGTGCGCCCCGTTTTCACTAGCAGAGGCACCGCAGGCCGGTCCTTTGCTATTTTCCAGGCTGGCCCCACAGGCCAGATCCAGTCCTCGGGCCTTGAGTTTGATATCCCTGGCATAAGCCTTGCTACCAATGCAAATCCCTATCCTGCCGCAAGTGTGCTACTACCAAATAGTGATAGCCTTATTGACTGTCTACAGCCCAGATTAAGGCAAGTGGCTCAGTTGTTTCCCTTCCCTCTATCAAAAAGTCAACTACCTCTTTAAAAAGGGCTGCAATAGGAAAGGTGGTGAGCTTTGATGGATGATGAGTAACAATACATCTCAACTCCTCAACACCACCACCACCCCACCTGTAATTGGAATTTAATGTTTGGATTTATCTTATTTGTGTCTGAGAGTGTGTATATACAATAGGTAATTAATGAATAGGATAGCATTTGTTTATTTGATTGCTATAACCATCCAACAGCAAATGACTGTATGTGGTTCATAATTCAAAATATGTTACAATTAAAATCTTAAAAACATTTTAAAATAAAAAAGCAATACAATACAAAACAGTAAACAGTAAAAAAAAAACCATTAAAACATCTAATTCAAAGAACACACAAAGCAACTCCATTACTGGAGGTTTTCAAAAATAGATTGGGACAGTCTAAGACTCCTTCCTCGAGCAGGGATTTGGACTAGACAACCTCTGAGATTCCTTCTAGCCTTATGATCCTGGACTAAGGTCCTTTAGTCTTGGAAAGCCTGCAAAGCAAAGCAGGAAGGAGTGTTGCCAATGTATCACACAACTCCTTCCTCCCTATCTATTTGTTACACTATTTTTAAACATGGACTGAGCTTTCTTGAAGAACATTAAACCCGTGTTTAAAAATAGCCTCTGCTAACAGTTAACAAGGATGCAGAAGGGATGCCCGTTGCAGTACAGGTGTACAATCTCAACTATTAGGAGGTACACACAAGTGCGCAGTGTGGTGAATAGAAAACTATAACGGCATCATACAGCATCCCTCCATAACACCTGTCAGCTGCTCTGAAGGTTGATTTTTTTTAATATTGATTTTTTACAAAATCTTTTATGGCACTAAACATCTAAAACTTGATTAAACTTCACATGATAGGCTATGAAGTGGCAGTGTGAAAGCCAGCTTGTATCTGTATTTTATGCACAGTCACTACGAGCAGCAACCATCTGTCATTCAACCAATCCAGGTGTTAGGATAAAGATTGACCCAGAACCTACCAAGCTAAAGGGGAAAGCCTAATTTGAAAGAATTGAACTGTTGCTGTCTATCAGTCCACCTAGATAAATCAGACAGGAAACATGAACAGATGAGCTAATTACATTAATAGAATCTTGCACGTCTAAAGGTACAAAACTCTCCTGTCTGATCAATTAGGCCGGGTCCTTCTTACGTTCCTTCCTCTAACCCATTAAGTCACTGGGAGCTCCTCCTTCTCTTGTGTGAAATTTCCAAGGCAGCATCTCTTCTCCTCATCACTTGAGATCATTCTCAGAATGGTCCTTGGGGGACAGTGCCTTGGGATAGTCTTCTCCAATCTAAAGAGGCCAATAGTTTCTAGTTGATTCTATGCCTTACACTCATTTGACAGAACAATTACTTAAACCTATCAGTTTAGACAATAAAGGTACTGTATTTTTTGGAGTATAAGACACACCTCCCCCCCCCCTAAAAGTGGGTGAAAATTTAGGTGCATCTTATAGACCAAATATGGGCGTTTTGGGCCTCCTAAGCCCTCCGTGTGTCGTGTTTTCGCTCTCCCCAGGCCCCAGAAGCACTCTGCAGGCCAAAAATGAGCACCTTTTAGGTGAAAATGGGATGTTTGGAGCACTGCAAAGTGCTTCTGGGGGCCGGGGAGGGTGAAAACGCAATGTGCGGAGGCCAAAAACTATTTTTTCTTGTTTCCCTCCTGTAAATTTAGGTGCATCTTATAGTCCAAAAAATACGGTACTATGGTTTGTTGCCTGCTTTAACAGGAATATACTATTTTAAAACCAGAAGAGCTTTAAGCTGTTTTAGGTTTGGATTTGGGATCAGAATGAAACCAGAATCATGATACTGGAGAAAGCAAAGGATATATGTTTGAGATATGTACCCTGACTAAACATAAATAGGAAAAGTCCCTAAATTCACTAAAATGAGCAAGAGCCAGAGAAGATAAAATAAAAGGTGTAAGATGTAAGAAACTAGCCCAACATTTATTATTTTTTAATTTTTCATTTCTGAACTTCTAAAATGGTGACTTGGCAGAAGGCAATAAACCACCACAATGGCTACATTCTCAATTTACCTTTGTAATAGGGCATTAAGCCCAGGAAAGCCTGCCGGACTTTCTCTCCTTTCAGGGGCTGGAGCTCTTCTAGACTCTCTAGCAATGGTCCTATGGAATAATACTGAGCTTCCTTGTAAACAGACCTCACTCGTTCTCTCGGAGGTAAGTCACCAGATCGTAGAAAATTAAGTACATCACTAAAAATAAAAAGGAAACAGAACTGCTGAAATAGTGGCTCCCTCTTCTCTTGTGAGAGATGTTATTGAATGTAGCAATTTTGTTTATTATTACTTAAATATTTTAAAAGCAATTAAAAACTCATCAAATAGCACATTTTCATTTCAAGGTCTTAAAAACATAAGACTGCAAGCACCATTTTTAAGGGCCATTTCCTCTTCACTTGTGCACAGGAAAAAGTACCTATGATGAAGCTTGAGGTCAAGTATGTATGAACTATTTAAAGACAGAAAATGCAATACATTGTTCAGGTAACTAAGAACTATAAAGACAGTTTCCTGAGAATAAATTGCATTAAAAGTTGTAGCCTAACATATTGAACAAATAACCTGAACTGAAACTACGGACGACTGGCAATATTAAGAAGCAAAAAATGGATTAAGTGAAAATGTATCTAAAACACTACTTTCTAAAACACAGTACCTGTTGCAATATGGATGTTACTTAACCATGCACCTAAACATTGTTTTCTAAAACAGAGTAGCTGTTTGCAATCTGAATGTTACTTAAGGAAGTAGCAATCCTTGGCATTTTACATATTTTCTGTGGGCCTCACTCTGAAGAAAATATGACTGCAAAGGAAGAAGAGGTATAGGGACAGGATACAAAATTAACCTACTGGTCCAAGTACTTTGTGGGGAGAAAAATAGCACGTCATCAAATATTATGTACCCAAAATATGTTCCATCTCTGTCAATAAAATATCGGCCTTCAGCATCTGTTGGGATGTAATGCCGGCCACTGAACATGGCTGACAACATGGTGTCTTCATGACGTTTCAGTGTTGACAGCCTGGTCATGAAATGGGTGCCTCCAATGTTTAGTGGAACTACTTCAGGAAACTGGAAATAATAAATGGCATTGAAAGTTAGACATGGCATGGAGAAAACAGAAAAGTGTTTTCATTCTCACGTAACACCAGAATTTGGATCACTTAATGAAGTACAGGTAGTTCTCAATTTAAAGCAGTTTGTTTAATGACCATTCAAAGTTACAACGGGTGCTGAAAAAAATGACTTATGACTATTTTTCCCACGACCGTTGCTGCATCCCCAAGGTCACATGATCAAAATTCAGACACTTGGCAACTGTCTGATATTTATGACTATTGCAGTTTCCCAGGATCGTTTGATCACTTTTTGCAAACTTCTGACAAGCAAAGTCAATGGGGAAACCAGATTCATTTTACAAACCATGTTAGTAACCTAACAACCGCAGTGATTCACTTAATAAATGTGGTTCCAACGAAAATGAGGCAAAATGAACTTAACAAATGTCTCGCTTAGCAACAGAAATATTACACTCAATTATGTTAGTAAGTCGAGGAGCACCTGAATAAAACCTTCCAAGGAAAGTATATCTGATTCCAATGTTTTCTCTTAGACAACAATTGTGGATATAACAACAATTAACAACAGAGGTAAGACTGCAATAAGAAGGGCTGCCTTAGGTGATTTCAAAAAGAATTAGAGACAATTTTAAAGGGTTATCAATAGTTACAAGTCCAACAACTATATTTCATTTGAGATCATTTGTGGAATGCCTATTTTAATCACAATGCAGGAATAAACATTGTGGGAAACAAAAGATAGGGAATTCCTAATAATTCCTATTTCTATCACTCTTAGAAGCAAGTAGGCAGGCTGGCTTGAGAAAAAATAGTTGTTTAGGCAACTTGTGCACAAACCATTTAATAAAATCATCACAATTTTGAATTGTGCTGAAACCAAACTGATAATTAATGCAGCTGCGGTATAGTTAATGCAGTATCAATCATGTGAATGTCTTTGCTAGCCACACTGCTACAATCTGGATAAATGTTTCTAGATCATAGGTATCAAACTCGCCGTGTCACGTTGCCATCACGTGACATTTCGCAACGTTTCCCCCATTTGCGGAGCTGGAGTGGGCGTGGCCTGCACATGATGCATCTGGCCTGCAGGCTGCCAGTTTGACACCCCTGTTCTAGATAGTCCTCAAAATAGGTCCTGTATACAGCATTCTGTAGTAAAAGCACCCATGTAACATGTGTTTTAACATATGTTTCACCAAGGGCAGGTCTGACATTCCCAAGAAGAACCTAAGCAGGGTAAAAACATACTGTAATTGGGCACAGCTGCTAACTGAGCATCCAGAGACAAAGCATCCCAGATGTATTCCTAATGTAAAGATTAAGTATGCCACTTAATAGCAATTGCTGGGGTTCTATAAAGCAACCCTGTTTCTTGAAGTATTTGGTGACAAAGGGAGGAAGGAGAATGCTGGACTAAATTGATCTAATTCAGATAGCTGCAACGTTTATGTCACCATGAACATTGAAATTTAACTCATGTAAATCTCTGGGGAGAATACAGGATCAGGTTGTATACAGATGAGACAGAGAAAGGGAACATACAGAAGATTCAAAGAACTTCAATAAGAACGACTAGTAATACCCTATGATCAAACACCGCATCAGCTGATGCAAAAGCGTCTAACCTGTAGTGCCTGACAAAGGGAGACGGGGATGCCCATGTAGCAGCCCTGCAAATCTCCGCAATAGGCACCTGTGTGGTCTCATCTGTATACAACCTGATCCTGTATTCTTGCCTCCTCTGAGCTGCTGGGGGCCGCCATCTTGGACCACGTGGTTTCAAGATGGCCCCCGGCTCCAAATTCAAATGGCTCCTCTTTGCTGGAGCACATGGAAATGGCTTTTGCCTTTGCAGGCTTGCCATGCGGCTGCAGCTTGCCTCCCCCTGCCTCCCGCAGCTCTTTCTGAGCCTTTCCGGCTCTCACCTTGTCCACTGGTGATAGCTGCCAGCACAGGTGTTCCAGGGTATTTTAACAACCCTCGTGGCTCAACCCCTGAGGGGAGCAGAGGAGC